TGAATTTGAACATTGCATGCATCTTATATCCCTAGGAAGAGGCATTTTCCCCCAAATAGATTAGTGAACTCATTTCTAGGGGTAAGGTGTTACTCTTGTGGCATCCTATTAAACATTATGTACACTTGCACTTTATACTATAGAGCACATCTAATTTAAAGGCTCAAACTATTACCATCATAGCATATCATGAATAACATTAATTTTGCAAAGCATAAGGTGGGACCCAAACTCACTTGGGTTCCCTAATCAAACTTTTGAATGACTTTGTTAGAATGCACACACAAGAAGTCCAATAAGTCCATGTGATATATGGACAGTGGCTGCACAAGACACATGACTGGTGACTTGAAAAAGTTCATCATGCTGGAGGCCAGGAGCAAAAGAAAGGTGATATTAGAAGATAATAGCACTAAAAAAGTTGTTTGTTTAGGTATAATTATTAAAACTAATGGCTTTATTTTTAAAAATGTGCTTTATGTAGAATGGTTAAAGCATAATCTATTTAACATTAGTTAACTATGCAATAAAGGTTTTAATTTAAAATTTCTTTTATAAAAAATTTTAATTATTTTATATAAAAAAAATTTTTGAAAGGAAAAAAGAATTAATACTCTATTTATTCTTGATTTGGATTGTAGTGATACTTCTAATAATATTTGCTGCTTGAAAACTATTATGGATGAATATTGGCTATGGCATAAGAAGTCATGTCATGTTATTATAAAAACCCTTAGGAAATAACCCAAAAGGATTTAGTTAGAGGCATTCCCAAGTTAGAGTTCACTAAGAATCATCAATATGATGCCTATCAATTATGGAAACAAATAAGATCTTTATTCCATTCAATTAAAGAAATTATGACCACCAAACTACTAGAAATTGTTCAAATGGACTTATTCAGACTCATAAGTATAACTAGTATAGGTGATAAGAGCTTTGTAATTGTGATTGTAGATGACTACTCTAGATTCATATGGGTTAGATTCTAAATATATAAGAGTGGGTCATTTTATGAGTTCAAGATTTTCTCTACTTGTATTCAAAGAAAGTTAGGCTGTTTGATTTCTACAATTCATAGTGATAATGATGGAGAGTTTGAGCATGAAAGCTTAAATTAATTTATAAAGAATTTTGGATTAATCACAATTTCTTTCCCCTTGGTACCACAATAGATTGACATAGCTTAGGTAATAGGATTTTGATAGAGGTAGCTAGGCTAATTTTAGGAGAGTATACTTTACCTAGATATTTTTTGGTAGAGGCAGGAAATACTATCTACTATGGGTTGAATAGGGTAAACATTAGGTTAAAGCTTAATAAGATACCCTATGAACTACTTAAGGGTAGGATACCAAACTTATCCCAACTACATACTCTGGCTAAGAATGCTTTGTACTTGTGAATTGTAAATCTCATTTAAGGATGTTTGTTTCTAAGATAGATGGAGTATTCTTAAGGTATTTTTAATAGATAAAGCCTATAAGATCTTCAACAAAAGAACCTTAGTTGTAGATGAATCTACCCATGTGGAATTTATGAGTAGATAGACATGTTGAGCCTAAGATAGAGGATGACGATGAGGTTCAGATTTGATGGGGTGTGTGAATTATGATGGGCTTTTGTGACTTTTTAAGACTGATTCTATCTGAGCTTAGCTAAATGTGGCATGTAAGATTGAAATATGATTACATTTTCTTTGATAAGTTAATAATTTAATAAAAATACACTGTTTATTCTAATTGTAAAAATTATCCTACAAAAATTAAAATGATGTTTTTAAGTTCCAATCATTGAATAGAAATAACTAGTATAGTTTATACAATTCTAATAAAATATTTTGGATTGATGTATGTAAATATCATTCTTTTTCTATTGAGACTCTTAATTCTAGGTGTGGATTGGAGCATATGCATCTCTAGATCTCTATTGAGCTTGTAAGGGTGAAAAGTATATCTGCTAACTTCCCACAATTTTATTAACTCCATAGAACATAGAATATTCAAACATCATATTGCTAGGATTGCAAACATTTTATTTTAATACACTTGATTGTTCTTGCATTCCTTTTTTCTAGAAAAAACTCATGGAGGGGCCTAAGCGTTAATAAAAAAAGAAGTTGCAAGGTCCTTATGGGTAACCTTCAGCTCACTACTACTCTTTTTTTTTTTTTAAGAAAAGCTAAAAAACTTTTTATTAAATAAATAAAAAACAGTCAAACTACTTACAAGAATCCGACTCCTCCTTTAACAAAGAAATAAAAGAAGGAGGGATATTCCCAAAAGTAACATCTTCCCAATCAAACGAGCTAAAACAAGCTAAATTAGCACAAAAATCAGCTAACTTATTGCATTCTCTACTAACACAGTTAAAAATAACAAAATCAAAATCTTTAATAAAAGAAATTTCAGAAGAATTATTACCACCATTCTTCACCAGCTCCTTGAAGTAATTAATCACATTCATGTTATCCCCTTCATAAATGAGACCTCTATATTCAAGCATCCACTCCTTAATCACTTGCTTTATTGTAAGAATAGCTTGGTGTTCCACTGCAGCTGAATCCCAATGAATAATAGGTCTTCCAAAAGCTAATAAAAGACTTCCAAAGTGATCTCTAAATACCACTCTGATACCTGCCTTGTAAGAATTGTGGATAGCCGCATCTATATTTACTTTAATCCAATCAGATGGAGGAGAATGCCAAGAGTTCAGCAACCTATGAGGTTGATTAGCATCCTCAATACCCGAAGAATTGCAGCTTAAATCATTAAAAGCCACCGAGCTACAGATAGCTTTCGTAGCTGTCATGACTGAGCTATATTTCCTTCCCTCATGAACATATAAATTTCTTGCTTTCCATGAATGGAATATGGAAATACAAAGTAAACTCTTCATCCAAGCATTTTGAGAGTCCAACCAAGAGAAACAAGTTTCCAATGAGAAGAAATTAGGAATGTCAAAACCCCATTTCTTCAAAACTGACATTACCTCTTTCACTTTATTGCACCCAAAAATGACATGTTCAATGTTTTACACTTCTTCACAACCTCTAGGACATTTATCATATCCTTGTAACCTTATCTAGCATAAAAATTGATAAGTTGGTATTGCATTCTTTAGCAGTCTCCACCAGAATAACTTGACTCTTTGGTTCAACTTTATTTTCTTGAATATGTTCCAGGTTTTGTCCTCTGTTTTTTCAGAAATAGTGGCTTCAGCTGCAAGAGCTATAATAGATTTGCCCAAAAGTTTATACATAATCTCAACTTTATCTTCACCATTTCTAATCTCAGTGGAAAAGATAAGATCAATAAGACCATCCCCAAAGAACTCTTTTAGATTCACCGTGTTCTAATTACCGTCATTTAAGAAATTTTCAACCATGATGCAGCTTCCTTCCGTGATGTTGACAAAAGTTGGCCAGTTGATAAAGCTTTTGTCTAAAACCTAAACATCTTCAAATGCATTGATATTCTTTCCATTCCCCACAGTCCATCTAATAATAGGCTTCAAGAATTTGTTTCCATTGCATAACAATCTCCAAGAAACAAATCCGTTTTTGTTGGTTGGTTGTCCTTCCATGAATCTTCCATACTTCGGAAACAAAAGCTTGTGCAAAAGAGATTCTTCATTTTGAATATATCTCCAAGCTAATTTAGCCCTCAAAGGACCTACATGCTTAGAGCAAGAATTGATGCCAAGTCCACCCCAATTTCTCGGTCTGCACATAAGATCCCAACTAACATAATGCAGGCCTGCATTGCCATCACGCTTCCTCCATATGAATTCCCTGCAAATTTTATCAATTTCATACAGAACTTTCTTAGGAACCATAGAAATGGTAGAGTGGAAAATTGGGTATGTCAGTAACACTAATTTTACCAAGGTTATTCTCCCGGCTAATGAGAATAGCTTACCACCCCAAACACCAAGCATACTCATAGTTTTATCTAATAAAAATTGAAAGTCAGCTTTATGAATCCTTCTTAGCACCACCTTGACTCCCAAATAACATAATTCTTTAATCTCTCTCAAATTCATGATTCTACAAATCCTCCTTCTCCTTCTATTCTTCACCGAGAGTCCAAAGAGGACTCCAGATTTTCCACATTCACTTTTGTCCTGTCCATCCGCAGAAGCCCATAAGAATCCCTTTGATAACTTTGATCGATTTGACTTGAGCATTAGAGAATATAATAATGTCATCAGCATACAGTAAATGGGAAATTTTAGGCCCATTATTAGAAACTTCAACTCCTATAGAACTCCCTCTAAAACTGAGAACATTAGTAATAAGTTGAGCACACATAACAAATAAAAAAGGGATAGAGGGCATCCTTGCCGGAATCCACTTTTGGCTTCTATCCACTTAGAATAAGAACCATTAATGAGAAGAGAGATCTTAAATCCCGTTACACATTCAACTATCAAATTAGAAAACATGATAGGAAATTTAAAGTATTCTAAAACTTTTACCAAAGTTTTCTATCCCATGGAGTCATAAGCTTGCTCAATATCTATTTTGGAAGAAGCCATTCCCTTGGAAGACTTGGAATGTTTAAATCTATGAAAAACTTCCTGTGCTACTATAATGTGATCAGAGAGAGATCTTCCTTTCAAAAAAGCTCCTTGTTCCAACGAAATGATTTTTGGAATTATCAATAAGATTATATTGAGAATCATTTTAGCCACTATTTTATAGACCGAATTACATAAGCTAATTGGTCTATAATTAGAAGGAAAAATCGGATTCTTCACCTTAGGAATCAACACAATATTAGTGGCTTTCCAATTTTCATTCATTTTACCATGCTTGAAGAAATGATTAATAGCTTCCCAAAGATCAATTTTGATAATATTCCGATAATGCCTAAAAAGGAATAAGACATACCATCCTTTCCAGGAGCAATGTTCCTCCCTAGTTTTTTTGATCACTTCTTCTAATTCTTTAAACGAAAAATCCTTGTTAAGAACTTTTCTACCTTCATCATTCAACGATGCAATGGAATCAGGCCAGTTATCCAGAACACAATTCCTCCGCACCCAATTGTTGCTAAAATACCAAAAGATCACATCCTCTATCTGTTTTTGGTCTTAAGCCATTGCTGGTTGCTCATCCTTGATTTTATGAATAAAGTTTGTATTCCTCCTCCCACTAACATATGATTGAAAGAACTTAGAATTTGTGTCTCCATCCACCAACCACTTGACTTTTGCTCTTTGCTTCCACCATGAATCAAGTCTAGACATTACAGAATTTAAATCTTCCATCTTTGCCTTGAGTAACCAATGAACTTCTTCTGTGTTATTTCCTCTTTCAGATTCAAATTCCTGTAGTTTTAAAACTTCAGCTTTCAGATCTTTCTTGGATAGATTTAGAGCCTTGAACTTATTTTTACTCCAGTAATGTAAGTTCTTTAACGTCCTTTTAATTTTTTGATTTAAAACAAGAGGAGGATCACCCAATGTTTTCTTCTTCCAAGAATTCTTTACAACACCAACTAAAGCTGGTAAAGAGGTCCATACTTCTTCGAACATCAATACTTTTTTGCTAGGAGAATTGAATTTTAACAGATTTTGTAATATCGGACAGTGGTCCGAAGCCATCCTTGCCAAATGCCTCACCATTAGTCTATGAGAAGAGTTCAATGCCGCTGAATTGACCAGGCATCTATCCAGCTTTTCAAGAATTTTCTATGCACCTTTTTTATTATTGCTCCAAGTAAACTTTGGACCAACTTCCGCCACCTCATGCAAATCGTTGCATATAATAAAAGACTTCATTTCCTTCGGTCCCAAGCCAAAAACAAAGTCTCTTCCTCCCTTATTCTCTTCCTTAGACAATAAACAGTTGAAATCTCCCCTTAAAATCATAGGAAAATCATTAGTCAAATGATGCTCCAATCTCTCCCATAACCTCCTCTTGTAAATATACTAATTACCATAAATTGTAGCAATTCTCCAGGTGCCCCTATTGAACACATTAAGATCTCCAATAAGAAACTGGTTTGAAGATTCCAGCATATGAAAAGTGGCCATATCCTTTTTCCAAATAACAAGAATTCCTCCAAAGAGTCCTTCCGAAGGAACTTGACAGAAGTCCCAACCTTCTCCAACTAAGGAACTTATAATTTTTCCATCCACAACAGTGAGCTTAGTCTCAACTAAGCCAAGAAAGAAAACTCCAAATTCCTTAATGAAATCTTTTGCATAAAGAGAAGCTTTTACCTTCCTTGCTCCTCTACAGTTCCAGAAACCAATGGATGACATTAAAGTTTTAAGGGGAAGAGGTTCCCCGCCCTTGATTTTACCTCACCTTCCAATTTCCTGCTCCTTGTATTCATTTTGATAGGTCCTAAGCCTTTTAACTGCTTAGTCCCCTTCTTCCTTGTCTTGCTTGATTCTTCTTCTGATAAGTTAAAATTATCCTCTATAAGATCTCTGCTTGTACCTTCTTCATTTACTCCTTTAGAAGAAATCTCTGAGTTAACAATCACCACAGTTACTTTATCTGCATCTTCAATAATTTCACCCTCTTCCTCTAAGTTGATCAATGCATCAAATTGATTAGAATTATAGATTTTACCAACAGCTAATGAACAGCTATTAAATCTTTTTACTTTTTTTGGAATTTCCTTTTCTTCATCTTGATTGCTGGATACCAACAGCTCCTCTTTTGAATTTGTTATTACCTCTTTAAGATTTCTTTGGTTCCTGGAAAAAGGATCATATGAATTGACTTCACCATTAGTTTCTAGGACTTTCTTCTCTGGAACTTTCTGCCAAGTTCTGTTGCTTTGCAATTTGTAATTTCTACCTCCCTTCTTTCCATAGTTAACATGCACCCATGGGCCATATCCATCTTCATTGTCTTTCAGAGCATATTTTTCTACAAATTTTACATCTGAATTTCTGTTCAAAACTGCATTCTCTTTTTCAGTAGGCAATGTAGTAGATTTACTAAAAACCTGTCCAGGTACCTCCTTGCTCACTTGGCAGAATTTCTCCAAGTGTCCAATCTTCCCACATTTGAAGCAAATGATTGGTAGTTTTTCATAACATACTTTCTGATATAATTTCCCAACTGCTCCTTTTACCCAAACTCCTAGAGGTAGTTTGCCTTCAAGACTGATTCTAACACAAACTCTTGCATATTCACGCCTCCCCCATTGAAACATATTCTCATCGATCAAAAAAGGTACTCCAACCTTCGAAGCTATCCTGCAAACATTAATCCTGTCCCAACATTGCCAAGGGAAGTTTGGAAATCTAATCCAAATGGAAGTCGTAATCCCCTTTAGTGAAGAAGGATTAAATTCCGGTGACCATTTGTCCAAACCAATAATACAACCATTCACAAACCAAGGGCCATTATTTAAAATAGATTCTGTACCTTCTATTTCTTCAAACGAACAAAGAACCCATCCACCTCCTAGTAGAGTCATATGGAATCTACCAAATCGGTTCCATTGTTTCCTTAGTTCCGCATTAATAACTTGATACGGAACCATTTCGCCAAATACCTTGACGACCAAAGCCTTCTTCAGTCTACCAGGATTCTCCAACTCATTTTATTGATGAAGTTTAACGGCACCGTCTTCAGCAAATTCATTCCCATAATCAAAATCAACAATTTTGAAATTAGGCTTGGATTTCCATGCATTTACCACAGTTTTGATCGGTAGAGGGGGATATGCAGCTTCCAGATTTTCTTTATTAATACAATTGGCCAACATTGCTGATTCACATTCTCTAACCCTTTCTAGATCTTCATTCTTCTTGTGTTCTTCATCAACTTCTCCCCCTTT